ACCTTCTGATCTTGGTTATTGATTCAAGAATTACCAAATCTCTTTTTCAACTGAAAGTGCAATTGAAATGTGTCCACAGGTTTACAAGTCTAAGATCATATTTTAGTAAACTAAACAAAGATCAGAACCGCCTTCCCCAATATTGTTTAAAGCCACCTCCGTATGTGCCCACAACTGCTGGCACTGACATTTTTATCCTAAGCAGGCACTACTGTTGCACAGGATACATTAGGTCAGATATTGATTAATCCCACATTTTGCTCATCCTTGGAATGTTCCTAGTCAAAAATATCACAAGAAGCTGCAAATTTTCTCAGAGCCTTTATTATGCTAATGTTCCCTATGCCTTTTCTGGTGAATACAGTATACGGGCAGGCTCCAGACAGGTCTTGGAGTATATACTGCTGCCTGGGATGTGTGTTGGGAAATGCTGGGTCTGATAATAGGCTGGAGAGAAGCAATACAAATGATGAAAGAATTTTAAAATTGTACCTACAGTTCAATGTTGAAAAACTATGTGTTTTTCTGTAGGAAGGTGACTAGTGATTAAGAAGAACACAAGCTTCAGGCAAAACAAAGCAAAGCAAAATTGGATTCAAATCCCAACTCTACCGCCTCATAGCTGTACAATATGGGCTATTTAACCAAAATTGGTCTCAGTTTTCTGTCTACCTTAGTAAAGTGAGCCAGGATTACAGGAGATAACATTCAATTGGATCAATTTAGGGTAGTCAGGAGACTGAAAAGACGATGATTATTTTATCCGAGATATTAATAGAGTTGTTTACTGAAAGCGGAAAGAGGAACATGAGGGTATCTCAGAGGCAGCAATGCAGGAAGCAACTACCATCCACAGGGCTGGGGAGACAAAGTGAAGAAGTTCCAATCATAAAAATTTACAAGTCTGGAGGAGGGGCTCTACAGAGCTGGAATACTCGGACTTCTGAGGACAGGGTGCTGCTGGTGTCCTGAGGCGGGTGGGGGTGAGGAAGCAGGTTCCACTCCGGATTCAATCTTTGCTCCTGGAATCAACCGCCACTGCCAAGGTAAAGAAGCCAGGCTGGGGTGATGTTCACGGGAACAGAAAAGCCACAGGAGACAGGAAGGAGCAGATATCTCCTTCCTCCTATCTTCCTCTCTCCTTCTATTGCTCTGATTTGCAAAGCCTCATAGGGAGTGGGCTGGTAGAGCATAAGTGTGGTTTGCAGAGTCTACCCCAGCATTGCGAAGCGGAGTATAGAAGGGTGGGTTCGGAGCTGGGAGACAACGGCTTGATCGCTGGCACAAATACAGTTTAGAGTGCAAAAAGTGTAGGGCAGCTAGTCCTCCCCCTAGCCTGACTGACTCAGTCCTATGCTTGGTATATGTTTGCAGAATTTCTGTAGGACATGGCTATGAAAAAGACAGAAGAGATTAAATGCCTGGAGGTTCAACTAAAAATAAAACAAACAAGGCAGGCTTAATATCACATCCCAAACTTGAAATGTCTAAAACTGAACTCTTGCAACCAATGTTCACAGCAGCCTTATTCATAATAACCAAAAAGCAGACAAACCCAAATGTCCATCAATGGTAAACACAATGTGGTATTGGTATATCTTATACAATGGAATATTTTTGGGCAATAAAAAGAAAAAAAACTGATTCATGCTATAACATGGATGAACCTTAAAAATATTGTGCTAAGTCATGTTTGTGGTCAGATGCAAAAGGCCACATTGTGTGATCCCATTTGTGATTCTACATGTGATTTCATTCCATGAAATGTCCAGAACAGGCAAAGCTATAGAGACAGAAAGTAGATTGGTGGTTACCTGGGGTTGGGGAACATGGTGGGGGATGGGGGTAACTGCTAATGTGCACAATTTCTTTTTAAGAGTAATTAAAACATTCTGAAGTTGACTATAGTGGTGGTTGAAAGACCCTGAGTACATTAAAACTATTGAGTGGTACATTTTGAATGGGAAATTGTATGGTATGTAAACTGCATCTCCATTAAGCTGGTAAAAAGAAAAAGACAAAACAAAAAAAGGCCATGCAGCTGTTGCCTTGTTCCCTAGAACACTTGCTCTTGGAATCCTGAGCCCCCACTTACTAGTAAGAAACTGACTAACCTGAGACCATCAGGCTGTGACAAAGACCAAGCCACATGGAGAGGCCACATGTTGTCCTAGCTCAGCCCAGCTTTTGAGTCTCCACAGCCCACACACCAAATACATGAGTGAAGAAGCCTTTAGCCCTCTGAGTCAATCTGTCATTTGAATCCCAGGTAGGCCCGACCCCGCTACATCCTATCCCAATATCTGAACACAGATTCTGTGAGCAAAATAAAAGTGGTTGTTTTATACCACTCTGTTTTGAGATGGTTTGTAAAGACCACTCTTCTGGTTTTCTTCCTATCTCAGTCTTCTCAATCTACTGGTTTCTCCCAGTCTCCCGGAATGCTGGTCTTCCCCAGTCTGTGCTCACTCCCTTGGCGATCTCATGCAGACTTATGGCTTTAAATACCACAATGACGACTCCCAAATGTATAACTTCAGCCAGACCTCTCCCCTGAACTTCATATTACTATATTCACCTGTTTATTTGGCATTCCTGCTTGTATTTTTGGAAACTAACAACTAATCGATATAAACCAACTATTTTGTCTAATAATACATTCAAATGCAATGTTTTTGTTGACATTCTTGCACAAAGTCACTATTCATTGTTATTGGAAAATTCTGGCATAAGCCTCTAAAAGTCAGTTTGCTTGTTTTTACTTGACTACCTACCAAATCCCTCAGATTTCCGAGGGCAGGAAAAATAATTCTTTCAACTGCAGCAAGAGAAGCTAAGGGCAAGTCATCTTTAAGTTATGAAAAATGATGGGTGAATAAACAAATGTGCTATATTTACACAATAGAATAATATTCAGCCTTAAAAAGAAATTCTGATACATGCTACAGCATAAACCTTGAAAATATTATACTCAGCGAAATAAGCCAGAGAGAAAAGGACTAATACTGTATGATTCCATATAAATGAGGTACCTAGAAGAGTCAAGTTCATAAATACAGAAGAATACTGGTGGTTACCAGGGGAAAGGGAGGGGTAGTGAGGAGTTATTATTTGATGGGTATAGAGTTTCAGTTTGGGTTGATGAAAAAATTCTGAAGATGGATAATGGTGATGGTTATACACCAATATGAATGTACTTCATATCATTGAATTGTACACTTCAGAATGGTTAAAATGGTAAATTTTATGCTATACTTTACCACAATAAAAAGTTTTGAAAAATGGAGTAAGAGTACAGGTGGACAGTTTAGGTACAAACAGATCTGTAAAGGGAAGCAGGATGGCTGGGATGGAGGAAGTGATCTCTGAATATTCCCCAATTTACACCAGAAAGTGAGTTCTCAGATGAACGGTTATACTGGTCGCTAACCACAGAGGGGCTGTGGCTTCTGACCGCCCTGCTTCCGGTGGCAGGGTCAGAACAGGCCTTAGGAATATCTGAGGTGGGATGTGCTCCTAATAAGCTACCAATACTCCTTTTAGGCACAAATACTTTAAGGCCAGGAGTTTTCCTGATTCTTTGTAGCCCAGACTCCTCAAAGGTATCTGGCCCCAAGAAGGTATTTATTACATAGCTGTTGAATGCAGATAAAAGTTTGATTTGGTTTATAGAATGGAGATTAGGTAATGTCTTTTTGAGAGTGCTGTATTTGATTAGACTGAAATGATATTATGTAAAAACACTAACACAACGATAAGGCATTATTCTTAATACAAGCAAGATGAAAAAGACTTAAAATTCTCCCTGAATGTCACAGTTTATTTGCTATGATCTGATTTCTTGGTGAGTTGAATGCAATTTCTGCTGAAGACACAGGAAACTCTGATTTACCTTTTTCTTCTTAGTCATCTTAGAAAGAGTGGGGGATGGGCCTTTTTGCCCATCAGGTTCCTCAACTCTTCCAAGCATATAACAAAGAATAAACAAAGTAATTTACCATTCTCCACCTCCCCCTGCTCCTAAGGGGCAACTGGGGCCGGCAGCCACCTCTTGCACCTACTGCCGGCAACGGCCCTTCTCACACCCACTGCCAGCGCCGGCCCCATTCATACCCGCAGCCGCACCCGCTGCCAGCATCCGGTGCCATCCCAGTCCCGATTGCTCAGCGCTGTCAGCGGGTGCGAGCAGTGGCTGCCGGCCCCGATTGCCCCGGAGGGGTTCTGCACCTCTCCCTGCTCCTGAGGGGCGATTGGGGCAGCAGCCACCGCTTGCACCCGCTGCTGGCGCTGGCCCCAATCGCTCGGCGCCATCAGCAGGTGTGAGTGGGGCCAGCGCCATTAGCGCATGTGAGCGGCGGTGGCGGGAGCAGGGCTGCCGGCAGACAGGGGACTGGGAGCTGTGGCGGGAGAGGCCGGGTGGGGGCACGGAAGATAGGCCGAGACCTGACCCTGTGCCCACAGCAGCCTCGCGGCCCACAGTTCCTTTCAAAGTGCACAAATTCATGCACTGGGCCCCTAGTTTGTAATAAAAACACACTAGAAGAAAATAGTCATGTGTTTCTGTTAGTGGTTTCTCTGGCTCTAAATCCCTCCAGTTTTGGATGATTTGCTGTTCAGGAGGAAACCTAAGGTAAGGCACTGAGAGTCTCACAGATCTTCCCTGGTAGGCCACAGCCTGCTAATCTAATCCTATTTGGCAGTAAATTTAATTATCCGAGAAATGTTATTATTCTTGTTTTATATATGTGCTTCCTATAAATGAGCATCATTTCAATCTAGGACACACTGAGAACAGTCAAGAATTGTATCTTGCATTTATAATTTAAGAAGCTATATTTAAAAATTAGAAACCAAGCAGATGGATATTTATAAAAACTGCTATTTCAGGAAAGGACTTAAAGTTAGAAGCCCTTTCCAACTCCTCTGTAAACTGAGGAACATACAATTACTTTAAGAATTCAATTTTTCCCCAATTGCACCCTAAATTATGGCAAAGGAAAAACATTCAGAAAAAGACTTTTACTTACTCAAATTTTAGATGGATTGCTTTTTTGGAAATTTTCTAATTAATATTACATGATATCCCATAGCTGATAAAAGGCCAGACATTTGCTTTCTTCTCAAGAGCTGAATGCATTTTTATGTATAACACAGATGGTATTCCAGCATTTACCATATGGAACAGGACGGAATAATTAAGTTTCATCATCCAGGTACCGTACAAATATGAAGTTAAAATAGAATTGTCATTGACAGTCAACACCGTACATTCCATGTTATGATTAATTCCAAGAACCAAATTTCTGCATCTTGAGTGGTAATTGTACTTTTCAGTTGCAACAACATCCTCAGAGAGTTTTCAGTTTGTCTTTATCTTGCTCCTTCTGACTGCGAAGTGCAAACGACTCCTGAACGAACTGCCTGCACATGGGGCACCGCTGGAAATACCTCACACAGCCGTCGCACAAGCACGTGTGCCTGCAGGGCAGCAGCACCCAGTTCACGGTCCCGTTCTGGCAAACAACGCAGTCCTTGCTACTCTCCTCCGGAGGCTCTACTTCACTTTCAGAAAGTCCAGCCTTTTCCAACAAGCTGCGGTCTGTGCTTTCACCTTCTGGAGAGGAATTGCTGGAAGGAGTGGCATTATTATTTGCAGACATGAAAAGTTGCTGAAAAAATCAAAGAAACAAGTTTAAAGATAATTACAAATGTCAATTACTCTTCAGAGGGTCATAAGAGATGCTCAAAATTTATGAGCTAGCAAATAATAGCTAACTTCTATGGGAACTAACTGTAAAAATATATCCCTTGATAAATGGTCATTCTTTGAAACTGCAAATGAGAAACAAAGATAAGACTACAAGGGTACAACTTACCTTAAGATCATGAAATTGACCTTGAGTCGGGAGTAAATATTGACATAATATTCTACAGGACAGTTTATAAGTTTTATCAGGAATATGAATTACTGACACCATGGAAATCTAAAATAAAAATTGAACACCAGTCAGTACTTAACCTCTTTATATTATTTCACAGATATGTGAAAATATGTCTCAAACAAAAATAAGCTGATAAATTAGAAAACTTACAATAATTTATTCAAATCAGTCACTATAGAGAAACCAGTTATTGACACATTTTTTCCCGAGTTTTTAAAATTATACTAGTTTACAAATTTAATGTGATCCCAACAAAATAGCTGAGTTGACTCTAAAATTCTCAATATGAGAAAATAACATATAAGAACAGCTGGGAAAATACTGAAAAGAAAGCTATGGGGGAGAGGATATTAAGCACAGTCAGATATTAAAACATACTACCATGCCTCTAGAGTTAAAACAGTGTGGTACTAGCACATGGATAGACAGGTGTCTGAAACAGAATAAACCGTCCAGAAATCATATATACAAATATGATAAAAATGGCATTTCAAATCACTGGCAAAGCGAGTCTTTTTAATAAAAAATATTAGGACAACTGAATAGCTACTTGGAAAAACAAAGATTAGATGTACTCCTCATACCATACACAAGAATAAACTCCAAAAGCATAAGAAATCTAATTGTAAAAAAATAAAACTATACGAATACTAGTAGAAAAATGTGCATTTCTTTCTAGTCTCAATGTAAGGAAAGACTTTCTAACTATAACTCAAACCTAGAGGCAGATCAATTTGACTATATGAAAATTAAAAACCTGCATAATAAAAAAGCACCATAAGCAAAGTTAAAAGACATATTAGCAAGCTGGAATAAAATATTCGCAATGTATATCACAGACTAAGGGCTAATATCCCTAACTTATGAACAACTTTAAAAAATGAAGAGAAAGTAACCAAATATCCCATAGAAAAATGGGCAAAAGACATGAATAGACAATTCACAAAAGATATAATCATGGTCCTTAGCCATATTAAAAGATGTTCAATTTACTCACAACATGATAAATGCAAATCAAAAATTTACTGAGATATTTCTCACACATCAGATTAACAAAAATTCAAAAGCTTGTCAATACACTCTATGGAGTAATAATCACACTCATATATGGTGGAAATGTTAAAAAAAAAAAAAAATTTCAGCCCTGGCTGGTGTGGCTCAGTTGGTTGGGTGTCATCCTATGACCAAAGGGTTGCTAGTTTGATTCCTGGTCAGGGCACATACCTGGTCAGGGGTGTGCAGGAGGCAGCCAATCAATATTATGCTCTCACATTGATGTTTCTCTCCCTGTCTCTCTCCCCCTCCCCCTCCTTCCCTCTCTCCCACTCTTTCTAAAAATCAATGGAAAAAATATCCTCAGATGAAAATTAATAACAACAACAACAAATTACATATATAAAGATCTGGAAAGATACAAATATTCACAGTGGTTATATTTGGATGATAGAATAAAAGTGATTATACTTTTTTCTTTTGGCTTATCTAGATTTTCTAATGTTATTTCCTGCCATAAGCATATATTCTATGAGTAATATAAAAAACAAACTGATATAATTATGTAAAAATGAAAAAGTTTTTAAGCCAAAATCTTGCAATAACAATCCCTGCTTTCCTTTATCTACTTACAATAACAAACTAATGACTAGCTATATTATCTAAATGTAATTTTTACTGTTACAATAGGAATGGGAGAGTTTAATTTTCTTTTTTTAGATTTAGAGTCTCTGATTCCCAGATAAAATACTGAAAAACCATTTATGAAAAAGAATTATGAAATGCTCAGTTTGCTTTTAAAATTAAAAACAGAGAACATGCCCTGGCTGGTATTGCTCAGTAGTTAGAGTGTCAGTCTGAAACCAAAGGGTCGGGAGTTTGTTTCCAGGTCAAGGGCACGTACCTGGGTTGTGGGTTTGCTCCCTGCCCCCGGTCAGGGCACATGAGGGAGGATATCAGTCAATGTGTCTTTCTCACATCGATGTTCCTCTCCCTCTCCCTCTCTCTCCTTCTCTCTCTCTCCTACTTCCTCACTCCCTTCTACTCTCTCTGAAAAGCAATAGAAAAAATATCCGTAATACTTTTAGCGAAAAATAAAAAAAAAAAGTGAAAAAAAAATATCCGTAGGTGAGGAGTAACAAGAAAAACAAACAAAAAAGAACAGAGAACATTATTATAAAATATACTAACAATTATACTTTAGTTCTACCATTAGGCCCAATCTGAGAGATAAGAGATGGGAGAAACAAGATTTAATAGGGAAAAAGGGGGAGAGCCTGCTGATAAAAAACACAGAGAAGGACCAAGGCAGGGAAACATAGGCAAAGAAAATAGCTGTTAACACTTCAGGGCCAGGGCTCAGGCGCCCCTGTGGGAATAAGCCGCCCACAGCCACAGCAGGGCCCTGGAATCTTCATTCCAATTGGGTCAGGGACCTGATAAGCAAATCTTTCCCTACTTATAATGCCATTGTACACTGGAAAGTGGTTAAAACAGCATTTAAGTTATATGTATGTTTTATCATGCACACACCAAATCCTTTTCTATTTAGATGGAGGAAGAAAAGTTAGAAAACAAAGACTATCGGTACCTCACGTAGATAGAAAGCACCAACCCAGTGAGAAGGAAAGGAACCAAAGGAGAAGCTGGGAGGAAGGTGACTGAGAACTGACCCTTTTTTGCAATAAAAGGAAAGAACTAGGGGAGCTTAGAAGAGATCAGGAAGGCAGGGGTATGAAACACCAACCTAATAGGTCTTATTTATCTTCAATTGAAAAGGGGGTGGGGGAGAAACCAGAAGATCTCTCATATACACTTCCTCATGCACATGCAACTAAGGAGTTCTGCTGCCGAGCTCTATGAAGCTCACCAACACTGCTTGGTATGACTTTTCCCACACTGATTAAATGTATTGAGCACCTACTGTGTTTAAGGCACGGTGCCAGATTCTGAAAATAACTGCTGTTGGTATGTCTTTTATTTGGAAAAAAACAAGCTGATTTCAGCTCAATGGAACTTCAATTTGATAAGGTTAAAACCCAAAAACTTAGATTGGCTTAACTGCATATGAACAGGGTCTACATTTCCCAATAAGGGTCTACCTTCCAAAGCTCAATGCACACTTGTTTCAGAAAGATATTCCTGTAAAAAAGAAAGGGAGGAAGGGCTACTGGCAAAGAACTACACAGGTTCAGGGTCAAGCCCATCTCTTATTTCCTGAATGACTGGGATTTTTCTACCAACTCTGTTTCAGTCCTTTTAAGAAGGATATTTGCCTAACACAATGTTGTTAGAAGAAATAAATAAGTTAATGTTACTTAATAAGTTAATATATTACAAAGTGCCATAAAGATGCTACCATTTCTTTATTAATGAACATATCTATATCATGCACTTCAGAAAAGTAGTAAATTGCGTATAAGGGCACTCTTACCATGATACTATTTCACCAACTTTATTTCATGTATAAGCTTCTACCATACTTAGAGGATTGTCAAGGCTCAGGTCTTAGCTCCCTAAGATGCTTTTATCTTCCTAATAGGGATAAACTACCAGACTAAAGAAGTAATTAGTATATAATGAGAAAGGTAATTATCACTATAATTACTGAAAATATAGGGACCAAACATATATAAGATGTAGATGCAGCAGATACTATAATGAAAACAAGATGACTGTAAACATGCAAAGAAAAGAGTGGGTACTGTCTTAAAATTGAGAATTTTGTTTCACTACTACAATGCTCATTTATTCAGTGCTCAAAAAAATGTTAAAAATAAATATGTCTCCCAACAGACTTTTCTATGCAGCAAACATGACAGAATGATGAAATTAACTTAATTCAAACATAATATAGCTTTTATTTTCTAAATAAAATCATATTCTTGTAACCCATATGGGAAAAAAAGTCGTACTCTAAAGGAACTGTTACATGTATAAAAATCATACCAATGTATTTCCCATGTATTTATTTATTTATTTTGGGGGGGGGGGGGGGAATGTGATCAGGTCAAATGTATACCCTCAGAAATCAAAATACTTTTTCTACATCACCAAATAATTAAGACCTATTATCCAAATCACTTAAAAGTAATGCTTCCAAAACTTTAAAATTACTTACAATATCATAAATTTCCCGGTCATCCTCATCAGCCAGGGTCAACAGTGCTACCAATGGATAGCGAGATCTGGGCACTGTCCCAAAGTCTTCAATGTTAGTATCCTTTGGTAACTGGCAATATATTTCTTCTTTGCTGTCCTTTTTAATACTTTTTGAAAATGTAAAGGTAAATTGTCACTATAAGCAAAAATACAATAAAATACCAAAGGGGATCGTAACTTAGCAACACTTCATCCATAAAAAGTCTAATGTCTAAAATTCTCATGTCCTGATAGATATAAGATAAAGGATACAAATACTGTTCTCGATGGAGATATTCGCTATACAAAGCATCTTCCAGTGCTTGGGGAGTGCTTATTCGGAAGCAATAAACGTGCTTCTGCAGAGCCTCGTACAATTTTTGAACACTGCACCCCCAGTAGCATGTGAGGAGGCTATCTTCAAGGCAATCTGTTGTCAAAGTTATGCCAGCTGTAAAAAACAAATAAGACAGAGAAGAAAATTACCTGACGTAATTTCTAGTACAATTATACATAGGGAGTAATAAAAGCTTCTTTTTGGATGCTGGCCAGGCTGCTGGCAGTTAAAGGAACTCATTAAAGGGTATGTGCCTATAAACGAAGGAACTGGTCTCTAAAACAGGAGATATAAAAAACCTCAGTGTCTACACAATTTTGAAGCACTACCAGTAAACCTGATTATTTATACATTTATGCTTGGAAGTGATCAATTTAATGTTTTTGGTGACTTCAAGACTTTTCCCACAAAGATTTTACAAACTGCAATACAGTTCACTATTGGTAGCCTACCGCTCTAATAGTGTCTACAATCCTAAAAAAGGAAATAGCCGAGCTGTTTCCAAAAGTAGATCCGCACAACCTTGTAACTACAAGCAGCAGAGCTCTCTCTGAAAGTGGATACACACCACCTGTGGCCCCACAAGATGATCACTGGAGTAGGACAAATATTAAAAAGAAATTGAGCTTTACTAATATCAATATACACACTGACAACATTAATATACATTCTTGTCACAAAGTTAATGTCCCATGTAATATGCAAAATATCCTGAGGAAAGAGTGGGGATTCCAAAACATGGAAGTTTAATAGTGATGTCCTCTTTGTTTGCTTTCAGCATAATAAAAGATATTATGATTTGAGTAAAGCCGATTAAGGGGGCATATAAATTATAAATGGACAAATTATAATATACAGTTTTATCTACTTACTTATGGATTTACTATATGCCACCTATGCGATTTTCCCCCTCCCTTGTAGCAATAAGTTCAAAGGCAGCAACATCCAGTGCCTCACATTGTCGGCAGCGCAAGCTGCAACGTCTAGTGCTCAGCGGCAGGGGTGTACTTGCTAAATAAAAAGGAAACGTTTTTGGTCATTGTGAGGCAGGACAGTAAGAAGCTGGGAAAATTCCTTGACAAGTGGAATGAGGGAAACTGAGACAAAATAGTTAAACAAGGCTGAGCAATTAACAGCCCGCTAGTAAATCACAAGATCTTATCTTCCCTGACCAAGGACACCTAGGAGCAGATGGTTTATACCTCTCCTCCCCAACCAGAGAGAGAATAGCTTAAATCACCCAAACTCCAGAATGGATGAAGGAAGGGGAATAAATAACAAAAAAAAAAAAAAACAATTAGAGTCAGACAAATCCAAGATAAAAGTAAAGCAGTGGAACTGACCATAGAATGATCCCAAACTCCCCTACAGGCTCATTTTGATGCATCAGCATATTAAAGGACACACCTGGAAAGCTGCTGAATATTCTATTGAGACCCTCCCCTGAGACCTCCCCTAAAATTCCCGTTAGAAAACAAATAAAAAACCTTAAGACAAAAGACCCAGTCCTCTCGCCTGAGCACTCCCATACCATTTCTTCAGGCATGTCCTTTTACTCTCTTTCCCCTAAGCTCGAAAGGTTTCCAGGAAACTTGCAATCAGGTGAGCAATGGGCAGCGCCAACTAGTCCTGGGCTAACCCTGTCAACTGTCTCCAAGGGCCCTCTTTTTGCCTCTATGTCTTTCTTTCCTGAGTCCACACAGCCCAGTATGGCTCACTTCTGTTACTATAATTTGTTTCCTGAATCCACCCGGCCCCACATGACTCAATTTTGTCACTGTGACCTCCTTTCCTGTATCCAAACAGCCCAGAGTGGCTCAATTCTGTTACTGTGACTTCCTTTCCTGAGTCTAGGCAGCCCAGTGTAGTCCCACTCCTGTTGTTGTGATCTTGGCTCTTCTATCTTAAGCCTATACTTTGTTTCACTGCTCCCAACTTTAAGAAAGGTACTCTCAAAATCATCTGGACTCATGTGAACTTTTTCCTACACAAAGTCAAGAACCCACACATTCCAGATCATGCCAGGGTAGATCTGCTTTGGTCCCGGTCACTTTCAGTGACAATTGTTCCTGACTGAACAACCTTGGTCTCTGATTCTGGCTTTCCAAACCTACTGGCAAGTCTGTATACTATTCAATATCCTCCCCTCCCCCCATTTTATTTATTTATTGTTGACAGTATTACAGATGTCCCCCATTCCTCCGCCCTCAATATCCTTTTACTGGAGTCATTTCTGTTGCTTGCTAATAGGAATTCTGATTAATATATTACCTACTTTTAAAGGTGATCATCAGAATGCGTTGGAAGGAGATACACAAATACAACCAGATCATCCACAGGATGCCAAATATTGTACTAAGTACAAAGTGTCAGATTCTGAGTATGTATAGTAGCAGTGACATAGAGCAATTTCTAATCACAGTTAAGCAAAAATTTTAATTGACAGAAACTTTACATACATAATTGATACCAGATTTGATTTCACATTTTTATGATTCTAACAATCAGGTATTAATTCAATTAGCTTTATTTTTCAATTAGCTGTTAAATAGCTGAAGAAAATCACTCCATTAATACAAATTTAAAATATATGTATTAAAAATCATATATAATTTTCTCTGTCACTTTAGAACCACACAAAGTGAGGCAAGAAAAAAAAAGTTGGAAGTAGATGGGAAAGGGGAAAAAATTTAAAGCCTACAAAAAAAGTTGGGGGGGGGGGCGGGGGAAGAACCCAGAAAAGTATTACTGGCAAAAATGTAAAAAGATGTATAAATAGGCTATTCATTGTAGCACTAGTTATATCAAAATGCTGTACTACACCTAAATGTTCATCAATAGGAATTAAATTAATAAAATATGGAATACTCTCCAATGAAGTACTAGGAAGCTCTTCAAAAAAATTGAGGCATACCAAAATATCTGTATATAGTACTACTGTGGAATGAGCTTCAGAATATACCATTAAATGAAAAAAGCAAGGTGTAGAAAATATCACAGGGTGGGGCAAAAGATGGTTTACAGTTGTGAATACGTGAAATAAAGTTTATTCTTGTATTATTATTTATTATTTATTGTATTATTTTCCATATGAACAACTGTAAACCCATTTTTCCCCCACTCTGTATATAGTATACTACTGTTTATCTCACAGGAGAGGATATCCAAAATATGTGTTTGTTTACACTAAAGAAAGAACAATGGAAAGATAAGCCTTAAAAAACAAACTCCGCTTTACACAACATACATAGTATCAGTCTAACTGCTTTGTAAAAAGAATCAGAGTTCCAGACATTCAGAGCTAAATAAAACTTGTTTATAGACTTTGTATACTTGACTAAAATGGGGCATGTCACAGACTACTGATAATGATATTAATCAGATTTTAATATGTCTCTGATATTAATATCACAAGCAAATGAAAAAGAATTACAGAATCTATAAAACTCTGTCCTCCACAATCTTTCATAAACTTAGGACTGAGGAGAATATATTGATTTACACTAAGGGTTCAAACGCCCTTAGACAAAACTATTCTCCCTTTAGTTTTTATCACTTCTTCTGCAAAGATCCTTATAATCAATTCCCATTCTTATATTTTTTTAGTCTTCTAAAATTCAGTGCGTACACAATAACATCTTAGATCAATAGCATTAACAGAATTGGAAAATAGACATAATCCAGAAAATTCAGAATCCAAATGAAGTGAAGCAACCTAGGTAGGATTTCTCTCAACCTGCCTACCTGTAACAACCAAATAAAGAGACAGTGTAAAAGATGGTCTTGCAAGAAATTGAAAAAAAAATTGGGGCTATAGTCTAATGAGTTGAGCCATTAATAAAAGGTGAAACAAGGGGGCAGTAAAGCCACACACCTTCCTACAGAAAAGTCTCTGTGAGAGAGGAACTATATACAAGGAGCCCCTGCCCGAGGATGATGAAACCAAAATACTGGGAGAGGAAAATTTTGGTCGTAATGAATAGAAGCTCAAAAATTCCTCCAAAAATGCTGTGTGTCATTTTGCTTAACTCTTTTGCTTATATTGGCTCTTTCCAGGGTGAATAAGTCAAAATACCAGAAAGCTGTTTACAAAAAGACAGCAGAATCCCTGAATTGAATTAATACAACACAAATAATATGTCCTGAGTACCTACTTTCAATTTCATTAAAACCTCTACATTGAGGACATGGAAACATCATAAATCCAAATACAGTATCATTAGAGAACAACAACAAATCCCCAAAACCCACCTCTGGTAAACAGAACTAAATGACTAAGATTAAAACTAATTCTCCAGCCCTAGCTGGTGTGACTCAGTGGATAGAGCGTCAGCCTGCGGACTGAAGGGTCCCAAGTTTGATTCTAGTCAAGGGCACATGCCTGGGTTGCAGGCTCAATCCCCAGTAGGGGGTGTGCAGGAGGCAGCCTATCAATGATTCTCTCTCATCATTGATGTTTCTATCTCTCTCTCTCTCCCTCTACCTTTCTTTCTGAAATCAATAAAAAGATATTAAAAACAAAACTGATTCTCTGGTTAATTTTCAAGTAAATCAGTTCTCTATATGTTCCCTGTCCCTCCCCTATGTGCCAGGCACCTTGGGTATAGTGATTTAATAAACAAATCAAAACAAAAAAACAAACAAACAAGGCCCTGGATTTTTGAACTATTTATATACCAAAAGAAATAACTTTTTAAAACATCACAATTATTGTTCAGAATATTATTTCAATATCTTGGTTAGACATCTTTAATGACACCCATCGTTCCACAGTTTAAGCAAATGAATTTTATTCTGCCAAATAAAGAAGAATTCCCACCAAAATTCTTCTCCTTATTTCCCCATAGAAGATAGATAATGAGTAATATGCATTGGTATTTAAAAATTAAAATACTTCAATAAGCACGCTATAAGTACACACATTTAAAATGTTCTTCATGTACTTCAGTAACGCTATTGTTGGTTAGCATATAGTGTGTTGGGCATAGCTGAGAGATCCAGCTTCCAACATTTACAGGGCAGGCGCTATTTAGGACTATTTCTATCTTAATAACGGCAGATTGATCAATTTCCTGACACTTTCTAGTTCACAAGTGTCCTGTGTTTGTTTGCTCACGATGTATCCATTCTTACTTTTTCAGTGTCTCCAGGCTTTGGACCTATGCTGCAGGAGAACCACTTTGTACTAGAATTTTTTACAGGCAGTCCTGCTCAAGAGCCAGATGTGACATTACAGCAGGTCCAAGTGCATGGCCACAAAGGTCAGAGATCACCAAGCCACCCTATTCTGTACATTTTATTCAGGCATGTTTCCTAAATAAGCTAGTCTTGTCTGTCATATCTTGAAATTTGGCTTTCCCAAATGAAAAATGTCAGAATGAACTCCTTATCTACCACTAGTGAAAAAAAAAAAAAAAAAAAAGGTCCTTAGTTTCCTTCAATTCATAGGGGTTATTATATATACAGAGTGTCCCCAAAAATGTATACACACTTTAACAGCTGATAGCTCAAGTTTGAAAATGAACTATTTTTTAATAAATACTGCCTTCAAAGTGTGTGTATACAATTTTTGGGACACCCTATATACACACACATACACAGTATAGTATTTACAACTAAGGAAGAAGATAAGAAACTGTACTTCTTCATTGTAAATCAAGATTTACTTCAGGTTGATAGTGTAACTAATTTTTGACAAGTGATTCTGAAAGTCAGAGGCAGGAAGATGACTAGACAAGAAAGTTCACAGAGGATAAGGGAGCAGGATGTCAACAAGGAAGGACTGGTCAACTCTGTTAAACTCTACAGAAAGAGCACTAACTGAGGCCTGAAAATGTACCCAGTAAATTTATGACTGCCAGGGGTGAGGGGTAGGGGGCAGAAGTGCTAATTAGTCATCTTGGGGAAAGCCATTTCAATAGAGGGATACAGGTAAAAATCAGACTACACTGCTCCAAGGAGTAAAAGGGAAGCAGGCTAAGAGAAGGCAAATGCAAATCACTTTTAAGAAGCCTGGCTGTGGCCTTGCTGGCGTGGCTCAGTGGTTGAGCGCTGACCTATGAACCAGGAGGTCACGGTCCGATTCCCGGTCAGGGCATATGCCCAGGTTGTGGGCTTGATCTCCAGTATGGCACATGCAGGAGGCAGCTGATCAATGATTCTCTCTCATCATTGATGTTTTTCTCTCTCTCTCTCCCTTTCCCTTCTTCTCTGAAATCAATAAAATATATATGTATATATTTTAAAAGCCTGGGTGTGAATGGAAAAAGAGAAATAGGACAGTAGCTAGAATAAGATGAAGAGCTGAGAAAGTTTAGGGTTGTTTTTAAGATACCAGAAATGTGAGCAAGCGTAAAAGGTGATAGGGTCTCAGTCCAGAGAACCTGGTAGAGCCACAGAATTGTACCTAGAACTGCATGCTCTATGTCTCTGCTTAACGGTCACAAAAGCACTTACAGGTCCAGAAGTTCAAAATTGAATTCATTACCTTTCTTCCCAAACCCGCTTCCTCCTGTATTTCTCATCTCTGTAAAAAGACCCAGCTATGGAGGACCCAAGCAAAGAATTTGAGTCTTCCCTGACTCTTCTGTCTTGTCTGTGCCCAGAATCCCCTCTCTTTCACTCCACCGGCTCCTAGATAGGCTCACAGACAATTTGTTTTCCAAGTACAGAAACAAACAACTACCATCTATTATTACCATCTACCAAAATAATTTTAGACCAAAATGCCATAATTTCAGACTAACAGACAGCTGTTCTTCAGAAGGTGAGCAACCTTATATTAACTGAACTTACACTATACCATTCTTACCTTTCTCACTGCACCGAAGACTTCTCTTATTAACACCTGTGATACTTCATTTAAGTGTAAATAAGCACATGTATTTGGATATACTCTCCTGTGAGATAAACAGTAGCATACTACATACAAGGTGGGGCAAAAATGGGTTTACAATTGTTCATGTGGAAAATAATACAATTAATAAATAATAATACAAGAAAATTAAAGCACTAAAACAGGGGCAGAGAAAGAGAGAAGAATCTTTGGAAAATAGCTACCAACTTGAAATCGAAGCTGAAGATGGATTAGCGATCTCTAAGCCAAAAGGATTCTTGACTTGTCTCATTTGCTTTTTGAAAACTCTTGTTTTGAACTGGGTCTCTTCAGAATTTCTCAGAATTACTGGAACATCCCAACCAAACCTGAAGAAAGGTGAAAATAAAATAATACATTATTTTAACAAATGTTGAAACTTTATGTTATATGTAGACTATGTTATGCTTCATTAGTTAATCCTCTTAACATATCAGAAAAAGAGATTAAGTTACTCAATTTACATTATATTTGAGAATTAACCTAGAAATAACAGAGATTAGAGGTCCCCTAGAACTGCAATATATTGTTAAGCTGGTTGAACTGACATACTCTTGAAAACAGAGTTCTATTGTTAATAACAAAGAAGTATATGGATTATAAATTGTACCTAATTTATGAGCAAAAGCACGATAGAATTATTAAATTTTTAAATGGCATTATAGACAAATACATATATTTTTTAAATATATTTTTATTGATTTCAAAGAGGAAGGGAGAGGGGGAGAAAGAGAGAGAGAGAGAGAGAGAGATAAACATCAATGATGAAAGAGAATCACTGATTGGCTACCTCCTGCACACGACCTACTGGGGATCAAGCCCACAATCGAGGTATGCGCCCTTAACCGGAAATGAATCTGCAGGCTGACACTCTATCCACCAGCCAAACTGGCTAGGGCGACAAATACATATTTAATATGCAGACTATTTGATATTATTTATGGGATAAGAGAACTTTTAAACACCAAAGATAGCCCTTCATTTTATAGCATATTTTCTCCTTTTAAAGTTCATGTAAAAATGTGATACTGAACAGACTTAGGAGGAAAATGAAAAGGACTAAATTCAATTATTTATAAAATTCGAAAGCAGCTAAGTTTACTCAATTTAAATAAAATAACTGAAAATGAATACACATTAGTTTAACCAAGAGACTTTAGATTAAGCAAGCAGTGAGGTTCATACTTGGATGCACTCTCTTCTCTCCAAATACTTAGTAGTGACAGATAAAAAGAAAAAGAAAAATCAAAAAGACCCTGCTGAAATGAACAAATAAACTGTGTTTAAACAAAGGAACAGAAGAACTCAGCAATGAAAAGGAATAAATTATTGCTACGACCATATGGATAAATCTCAAAAACAACATATTGCGCAAAAGAACCCATGCTATGATTCCATAAAGTGAAATTCTAGAGTCCATAAAAGTAATTGAGTAGAAATAAAAAACAAAACAATGGTTGCTTCTGGGGTGTAGGAGTATGGGCTGACTGGGAAAGCGATAAGGAAACTTTCTCTGGTGATGGTAATACTCTATATCTTGATAGACGGTTGAGTCGTATAGATGATGTGTTTGATAACACTTAAGATATGCACATTTCATTGTTTATAAATACTACTTCAAAAGTAAAGTACAAGTGGGTGAAGACAAGTTACTCTGAAAGTGATCAACAAATAAGATGGACTGATGGGTGGATAGAAGGATGGATGGATCAGGACAGACATGCAATAAAGACATTATAGCAAAAGGTTGATTTGGAACCTAAATGATGGGCATATGCATGTTTACTGTATAATTCTTTCATTGTATGCATGTTTGAAAATTTTAATAATAAAATGTTGGAAAGAAGAGGCATAGTTGGGTTCAAAGACATCTTCATAAATTTGAAAAGGGCAAAAAATATAAAGTGATGAGTAAGGCTTATGCCATGGTTTGATGGGCTCTGAGTCTGGCAGTAGGCAATGGAAACTAAGCCTTCACATACAAGTTGTCCACTCAAGACAAGGGCCAGAACCAGGTTCACAACTTGAATCCAGGCGTTGGGTTATGTCAGTGATGACGAACCTTTTGAGCTCGGCGTGTCAGCATTTTGAAAAACCCTAACTTAACTCTGGTGCCATGTCACATAGAAATTTTTTGATATTTGCAACCATAATAAAACAAAGACTTATATTTTTGATATTTATTTTATATATTTAAATGCCATTTAACAAAGAAAAATCAACCAAAAAAATGAGTTTGCGTGTCACCTCTGACATGCGTGTCAAAGGTTCGCCATCACTGGGTTAGGTCAATATCAATATGGGACAGAACTGTCATTTTAAGACCCGGTCCTTTACTAGGGAAGGGGGCTGTCTATAAATCTGGGTGTAGGTAATTGTAAAATGGTTAAAAGAGGTCCCCAGTTTAATCTCAGGTCAGGGCACATGCCTGTGTGGGTTCAATCCCCGGTAGGGGGTGTGCAGGAGGCAACCGATTGATGTTACTCTCTCACTTCCATGTTTTCTCTTTTCCCTTCCTCTAAAATCAATAAAAACATTTTTTTTTAAAAAAAGCTGAAAAGCAAGCATCCAACAGATCAAATTGTTTCCAATTAAGTTAACTGCATCCCAAAACAAAGCTCAAGAATATTTATATGAATAGAAACATCTACATCAGCCCTGGCCAGTGTGGCTCAGTTGGTTGGGTCTTGTCGTGTGCACTGAAAGGTGGTTGGTTCTATTCCTGGTCTGGGCATGTACACCCGTTTCAGGCTCAATCCCCAGTAGGGGGCGTGCAGGAGTCAGCCGATCAATGTTACTCTCTCACATCGATGTTTCTCTCCCTCCCTCTCTCTGTAAAAATCAATAAAAAATCTTTAATTAAAAAAAAAAAGGAAACAAACATCCAGCATCAGATAAGGTAAAATGCACAATGTTTAGTGTTCAATTAAAAATTACCAGGTATGCAAAGAAGCAGGAAAATATGACCCACAATGAGGAGAAACTAATCATAGAAATAAATCCCCCAAAATGACACAATACCGATACCAGAATAAGTGGACAAGGACATCAAAATAATTGTTGTAACTAAACTTTTTAAAGAAGATAAGTAAAGATTGAGCATTTTATACAGAGATATGGATTATAAGATCCAAATACATTGCTGAAGATGAAAAATATAATGTTTGAGATGAAAAATACACTAAATGGGATTAATAGCAAATTAGATATTACAGAACAAAATATTAGTAAATTTGAAGATCTAGCAACAGAAAGTATATAATATGAAACACAGAGGGAAAAACAACAAAACAAAATATCAGTGAGGTAAGGGACAACTTCAAGCAGGCTAATGTACATGCAGAGGAGGGGCAGAGACCATACAAGAAAACTACAGACTAATATCACTCAGGAACATAGATGCAAAAAGTCTTAGCAAATTAAATCCAACAATATATAAAAAGATTAAATACATCATGACCAAGTGAGGTTTATCTCAGGAACGCAAGGTTGGCCTGGCATAACATTAAAAATTTATATGTAATTCACCGTATTAAAAAACAGAGTAAAAAAAAACCAACCACATATGATTATCTCAATACATGAAGAAAAAGCACTAGCTAAAATCCAATGTCCATTCCTGATAAAAACCATCAGCAAATTAGGAATGTAAAGGATCTTAACCTGGTAAAAGGCAGCAATAAAAAATGTACAGTTAACCTCATACTTGAAGAACTGCTTTCTTCCTAAATTCAGGAATAAGACACATAATGTGTCCTTAAGCAATCACTCCACCTCTGTGTAACTGTTACCCCATTTGTAAAAGTTTATAACAGGGCTAGGCACAACGTAAGTGCTAACAATGATAATGTTGATGATTGCATAGACTTAGGAGCTGGCAGAGGGCTAGAGCAGAAGTTCTCAACCTGTGGGTCGCCAACCTGTGGGTCATGCCCCCTTTGGGGGTCGAACGACCCCTTCACAGGGGTCGCCTAAGACCATCGGAAAACACATATATAATTACATATTGTTTTTATGATTAATCACTATGCTTTAATTATGTTCAATTTGTAACAATGAAAACACATCCTGCATATCAGATATTTACATTACAATTCATAACAGTAGCAAAATTACAGTTATGAAGTAGCAACGAAAATAATTTTACGGTTGGGGGTCACCACAACATGAGGAACTGTATTAAAGGGTTGCGGCATTAGGAAGGTTGAGAACTACTGGGCTAGAGAGAAAAAAAAAATCCAGAAACTTCTCCTCTTTGATCCTCAGAGTCAATTACTCCATAGGTTCTGTCTCCACTGCTCACCACTGCCCCAGTGTCTTTTAGAGGTTCAGTCAGGAATGTGGAGTGGTAGGACACAAGACATAACCTTTCTATAACAGCCATAGAATAACACCTTCCCCTGCTTTCCTTCATCCCTTGGATTGGAAAAAAACAAAACAAAACAAAAAAGCAAATGAAGAAAAAGCACTCTAGCCTGGCCAGTGTGCCTCAGTGGTTGAGTGTCAACCTATAAACCAGGTCATGTTTTGATTCGCTGTCAGGGCATATGCCTGGTTGTGGACTCTATCCCCAGTGTGGGACATGCAGGAGGCAGCTGATCAATGATTCTCATCACTGATGTTTCTCTCTCTCCCTCTCTCTTCCTCTCTGAAGTCAATAAGAAAATATATTTTTAAAAAGATACATACATACATTCCCTGGCCTCTTCCTCATAATTTTAATTTTCCCTACCTTCCTCCACCATTTTTCTTTACCCCCACTGTCTGGCTCCTTATACCCACACTAAAAGCTAGAATCCAGATCTCATAGTATCCATTTCTACTGTAGGTTCAAGAATAGTATTTCAGGTACTTTATCATGTTGTACCTAAAAATTGCAATTAAAGAATCCTTAAAAATGTAGGAGCCAGAAACTCCAAAAGGCAGGGCTTTGAAAAAGTAACAGGAAGCAGCCTGTTGTCAACATGAAATTCCTTTGTAATATGCTTTATATTCTCCATGATGTATCTGGTTTTAAAATAAAAATATTTACTCAAATCTTTACTTAAAATCATTGTTGTAGGAAGATATACCATATCTGGCTTTGTATACACTGCAGAATGAAACAAACAATCAGAGATGTAAAGTGTTGCTTCTCTGAAAGCATGGTTATCCAAGGCTGCTTGGCCCAGCATCACATCAAGAATTGACCTATTATTAAAAGAAATTCAACTCTCTAGATTTTTTATTTCTCTGCCTCATGCATAATCTTGGGTCTACATTTTCGAATATCCTAAGGTCCTTGATTTAACTCATATACATCTTTTAGAATTGATATTACGAATCTTGC